CAGAAGCACCCTTGGCTGGAACGGCCTTCTTGACGGCGGGAGCAGCACTCTTCTTGGCTGCCGAAGCCTTCTGGCTCGCGGGTGCTTTCTTAGCAGCAGAAGCACCCTTGGCTGGAACGGCCTTCTTGACGGCGGCGGCGGCTTTCTTTGGGGGCATGCTTATCCTTCCTCTGGGGAACGAGGTATGCTTCGCACCGTCCACTAGAAGCGGGGAAGGCCATAAAAAAAGCAGTCATAGGAGAGAATACACGTCAATAAGACCACTAGACACACGGGAAGCGACTCCGCCCGCACGGTAGAAAAGCGGTTCCCAAATAACGATAAACACCCAGTCCCAGTCCCACCACCACCAACAGCAACCCTCCCCCGACTCCGTTCTTGGTGGTGGCTGCTGCTGCTGCTACTACTACTACTACTTGGACCAGTTTTTTTTTTTTGGATGTCAAGTAGTACGTTGGTTGAGCAACTCGGTGCGCATGGCGAGGTTCTGAGAAGAGAGTGCAAGCACTTGTCCACGCAAGTCGGATATAGCCTGTCGCAGACGGTACGTGTTGCGTCGCTCCGCGGCGAGCAGCAGGCACCACTGTTCCCTCTCCGCCAGCACCCGACGCCGCGCTTCCCGCAGCGCCTGCTCCCCTGCCGGCGCAGCAGCGGCAGTGCCGCCGCCGCCGCCGCCGCCGTGGCCGTTGTCGGTGTTGGCGGCATTGGACATCGCCGACGTGGCTGCCGGTTGCGGCCTCGGCCCCACCTCCACCGCCGCGGGTTCGGGCGGGGGAGGGCGGGGGGACACGGGCGGAGAGGCGGCGGCGACCGGGGTGTCTGCCGCGTCTTCGGCGCTGTAGTCGTTGCTGAGGCGCCGCGTGGCTTGCGACGCGCTCGATTGGGCGGTCTCCCCCCCGGACGACGAGGCCACGCCCCTGGCGGCCGCTGACGAGGGCGACGACGGTGCCGCGGCGGTCGTGGGGGCGTGCAGGAAAATGCCCCTCGCGCTGGGGGCGACAAACGGCCGCAGCACGCCGTCGCGCATCCCCGCGGCGGGCACCTCCCCGACAGCCCCCACCGACCAGTCCAACGCGTGGGAGATCCCCCGCGCAAGGCCCTTTGGCCGCTCCAGGGCATACGCCGCGCCGCTCAGCGCCTCTGCCGCCTCCACTAGGCAAAGCGCGTCACTGCCGCCACCGCCGCCCGCACCCTCACGGGAGAGGGGCTGCAGCGCCGCCACGACGCCCGCCACATCGGCGGCCGAGTTCATGAAGAAGAGCATGTCGTACTCGGACGGGATCTTCAGCCCAACTTGCGGCGCCGCACCGCGCCACACGTGCACCTCCGCCACGCTCCTCGTCGGCACGCAGCGCTGGATCACGCCATTCTCCACGCAGGAGAAGAGGTGGGTGGGGGTGATGACAAGAAAACGCTGCTGACGCTTTCCACGGCGGTTGACCTTGGCGACCTCCACAAAGTGCACAATGGGCACATTCCGCAGGCAGCGAAAGGCACGCGCCAAGGCACGTGGAAGAAGAACGAGGTCCCCAGGCGCCTCCGGCATGCCTATTTCGGGCCCCTCACACCTTGCAGCGTGAAGGTAACACACGCACACAAAGAAGGACGAGAAAAACGGAGAAGTAAACAAGCAAACAAACAATGGTGCCATAATAAATGGCACACAACAGATTCCGCCTTCTCGGTCCACCTGTGCGGAGGGGAAGCATCAGCAGAGGCCAGAGGATCTCTTGCGTGGCGTTGCTTCTCCTGCCCGACGAGTTCCTTCTCCCCCCTCCCTCGCAGCACCTTCATGTTTGTCCCTCATCTACCACCTCAGTCACACCTACACGATAGCCGCAAAAAACAACAACAACAAAATCGGAAAAAAAAAGGGGGGGGGGAAAACGGATTTACATTGTATGCCCTTTTCCAGCCCTTTGCGCTCGCCGAGACCGTTCAAATTACCTCACGTGTGCGTAGGCACCAGCGCCGCTTCCGCGGAGGGGCTAAGGTCCATGCCTTCCAGATCTTCTATTGCCATGGAAATAATTTCCTCCACGTCACGGTTAATGCGTCCGCCGTTGGGGTCCTTCACACGTCCATACTTGACGTTGAGCAATTGCATTAAAACCTCCTTGCGAAGCTGATCGGGGTCCGCGACGTAGTTTTGCAGGTAGGCCCCACTTGTGTACTTCAGCACCTGCGTGATCTCGAGCGGCACAAGCCAGTCAGCGGGGTAATAGTGCCGTGTCTGCTCCCATAAGAGGGGCAGATCATCGTGCGGCGCCTTCCCCTCGCGCAGAAGGACGACGCGTTGGTGCAGCAGCGGCCACGGCGGGCGGCGTGGGTCACTCTTACGGCGTTTTTCTGCCTCCAGCTCGTCCGGCAGCTCAAGTGGGCCGGCCTTCTTGGTTTCCTTCACACTAAACACCGACAGGAACGCGATGGAGGCGATGAAGCTGAACAGGAAGAGCGACTTGGCGGTATATGGCTCTATTGGCTGCCCTTCGGTTCCAAAGAATTGCTTGGCGCTTACAAAGCGACGTGAAGTTCGGCGCAGCATGGCGTACACCCCCGCCGGTTAGCCTCTCCCCTCCCGTGTTGCCCTTTCTACTGACTCTTACTGTTGCCGTGCCGCCGGTGCCACGGTGAGGGCCCAAAGAAACCACCCACTCTGATGCCTACGGCAGCCTGCGTGCACTGTCAAAGCAGCCCAGGATAAAACGAGAGAGGGGGGGGGGAAAGAAAAAACAAAAAACAAAAGAAAGCAATAACAACAAAAACAAGAACAACAATAAAAAAAATGTTTGAAGTGACGGCCTGCCAGGAGTCAAAAATTGAGCCGCATTTGTGTTTGAAAAAGTGATGTTTTTTTTTTCTTCTCTCTTTGTCGCTCCATCCTCTTCCTGGGCGAGGGAACTGTCACTGGGCGCTGGAGCGGCCCGCATTCACCCCTCACCCAGGCGGCGCGGCGGGGCATCTATGCCGGCGGCGGGGGGCTGCGAGTGTAGCATGGAGAATACATGCGCCACACGGAGGGCGTGGGGTTGCGCCGCTCCTGCCGGCTCTAGTCACGGGCCCGACGCTTCATCGATGTGTGGCACAGAGGGCAGTTGCGGAACCGGTCACCCTCCACGTCAATGATGCGGTGGCGGCACACCCCACACTGCCAGAAGTCCTCTGTTGTGATGCAGCGGCCGGTGAAGATGCAAATCCCAAACGGATGCTGGCAGCGTGCACACGTGGAGGCCCACTCCTTGTTGAAGGCGTCACACTTGGGGCACTTCACACGATCCGCCGAGTTGTCCTCCGGCTTATACTTCGTAAATATTTTCACCGCCAGGTCGGCAAAGCGACGGCGTGGCTCCTTCAGACTCACAGTCGGATAGGTAAACTGCGTCGCGAGCACCACTCCCTTCGCGGGGTTGGTCAGCTGCATCGACGTCGTCGTGCCACTCATCCCTGTGGAGGCTGCGGCCGCCTGTCCGGCGACGTTGGCGCTGCTCCGCTGGGCTGCGAAGCTCTTGCTGGAGACATCCAGGTCCATCGTCATGTCAATCAGCTGCAGCTGGCCGGCCAGCGCGGGGCCACCCCCATCCTGCTCATTTTGCTTCTGCGCATCCATCTGCTCCGCCGCCTCCAGGCGCGTAAACGCTTTACTACATATGCTGAAGTTCTTTGCCAGGTACGCCGTGAGAGCAATGAGGCTGTAGCTGTCCACCGGACTGATGAGGTCGTCGTACTCCATCAGCCGCATTGCCACATTCAGGGCGTAGGGCAGGTTGCGGTGCAGGATGTGCTGCTGGCAGAGCAGGAAGAAGTGAAACGCCTCGGCGCCGCGCCACGCCGCGTCCAACACCCGCTCTGACGTCGCTGCTCGCTCCTCACTCAGCAGCGCATCCACGGCAGCCGTGCCGTCGCTGCTCAGCGTCACTTTCTTCCTGCGGTGCTTCTCTATCTCTAGTGCAGAGAGCACATAAAACTTTTTGGCCCGTAGCGGGTCTGTGGCGGCGGCCCGTTGCCCGAGGCGCGCCAGCAGTCGCGCTGCCTCGTCGTGGCGGCCCGCCTTGCGGTACAACTCAATCGCCTCTGGAAGCCGCTCACTCTCAACAAGGCTCTTCGTGTGACGCGCAAGCTGCGGCAAAATATCCTTGAGCTTGTGCGCCTCCGCAATCGCCACGGCGCTATCCCACTGGTGCAGCTGCACACACCCGGCAACCGCCAACCGCGCCTCGCCTGCGGCGAGGAAGGCACGCGATGCCTCCTCCCCGAGGCCGACGGCAAGCAGCATCTCGCCAATCTTGAGAAGCAGCCCCTTGTCGTGCTCCGCGCTTGGGATAAGTTGGGCGAGGAGGTCGTAGTCCTCCAGCAGGAAGAGAATGTGGGCGAGTTTGTGCAGCTGTCGACACTGTGTGTAGTACTGAGAGGCCTTCGTCCACTTCTGTCGGTCGGCGTAGTAGTCGCCAATGTTTTCCCACGCCTGCCGCATGTGCGACTCATCCCCGCCGCCCTCCTGGACAAGCTGCACAACACGGAACCAGTCCCCCAGGCGGTAGCGGAGGTCAAGCACGAGGTCCTTGCGGTCAATCTCCTTGTAGATTCTCTCCGCCTCGTCGAAGCGGCCGTAGTAGGTGTGGATCTCCGCCCGCTGCTTCTGCGGGTCATCGAGCTTTTTCACGCGCTTCACGAACTGGATGGCCGGGTAGTCCCCGCACCGGACGACCGCCATCTCCGCGTGGTCAAAGTCCAGCTGTGCCAAGGCGTGTTCGGCGAGCAGTGCCCACAGCTTCGGGTGTGGGTGGCCCTCCACGTACATGTAGGCCTCCTTTATCGACATCGTTTCCAGCGCCTCCCGCGCCTCCCGCAACTCGCGCGTCTCAAAGTCGACGACGTGCTCCTTGCGGGGCCTCTCCGGGTCTTGCATGATCTCGTCCAGCTGCAGCACACGCACCTTGAAGGACTTGAACTTGCAGACGTAGGCGCAGGACTGGACGGGCTCCTCCGCCTCCGTGCCGCGAAATATGTACATGCGGGACTTCTCCATCACAACAAGAAGCTCCGGGTCGTCCTTCGACCAGCGCATGTTCCACACATCCTTGCGCTCAAAGTTTGGCTGCGGGGAGATTTTTTTAGGCACCAGCGAGAGCTTCGCGGGATCTATGTGGAGAAGCGTCATGGTGCCACTCACATCACACACTGAGAGTCGGGTGGAATTCGAGTTGGCCGCCATGGACTGCACGCGGAAGGGCAAAGTCATTTTGCCCACAAGCTGCAGTGGGGCAAAGCTGTACAGCTGCAGCAGCCCCGACTCACGGGCGACGAAAAGCAAGTCCTCGCTGAGGCAGAGCGAGCAGACAAGATCATTCGTGACGGCCGTGTGGCCAATCAGCGAGGGCGGGGTGTCAGGGCGAACAATGTCATCCACATGTACCACACGCTCGCGCGTGTCGTGGCGGCTCGCCTGAACAGAGATGGGGTCAAGCAAGTCCAGAGCGACGCCTGGGTCGCGGAACTGCCAGACGTAAATGTTCTCCTCGTCGGCAAGCACTATGTGCGCAGAGTTCATGCCGCAGACAAGCGGTTCCATTTCAAGCATGCGGGTCTCCAAAGGGCTGCCGATGGCGTTCAGGAGTTGTACGACGCGGTGGCGCCCGTCGCCAGAGGAGTTGACGATCACGCAGGCGTCCTTGCAGGAGTCAATGTAAAAGAGCCCACGGAAGTAGCGGATGACGCGCTCGTTGCTGCGCGTGTTCCAAAACATGACCCCCTGCTCTACACGGTCGGGCCGGTGGAAGGCGAACACCACGGTCTTGGCGAAGTATGTGTAGTTGTACGCGGGTCGCACGTTCGCAAAGTACAGCGCGGCGTCAATCGCAACACAGACGCGAAGGCCGTCGCCCTCCCACGTGACCCCGCCGCAGTGCTGCCCAGAAACGCGCAGCGTGCGCAGGTGAATCCCGTCCGTGTTGAAGAATTGCGCCACCACCATCGAGGGCGTATGCGCGGACGGCGAGGAGGTCGCCGCCGCCTCACCCAACATGGCCGCCGTCGAGGTCACGCCGCAGACGACGAAGATCGTCCCCTGCGGGTTCCAGGCGATGCTGCTGACAGGGATGCCGTTGTCGATGATGTAGGGGCGGTTGTCGCTGACGTCGTGCATCAGCTGCATCTTGCCGTTCGCGTAGCAGACGGCAAGCGTGGCGAGCGGCTCCGGGCTCTCCGCCCACGCGGGGTGCCAGGACAAGCCGGTGAGCGCCGCTTCACCCTCGACGCAGGAAACCCGCAGTCGGCACACCGCGTGGCCACCGTCGCTGTCGTTCACAAGGATCTCTCCGGTTTTGGTGCCAAAGAGGATGTAGCGGTCGTCTGGGCTCCACGCGACCTTCACGAGTTCATGTTTGATCTCGCGTCCCCAAATCCGGGCGCCGTCCGCGCCGCCGACGATGACGGCGCCGTCCGCGTAGATGATGCAGACCTTCGTGCCTTCCGTATTCCAGGAAATGTCCGACACGGTGCTTTTTCTGCGGTTGTTGATCATCTCCTCCATCCACATGCCCTTGTGCAGCGTCCACACGATGATCTGCCCGCCCTCATCGCTGGAGGTGAGCTTGCGGTACCGGTGGTTCCACGCCACAATCCGCACGTCCGCCGAGTGCCCCTCGAGCGTTTGATTCATCGAAAGAGCCCCCTTAGCCCCCGCGCTGTTGTCAATCTTCAGCACCTTCAGCAGCCCGCCCTTGCCGCCGCACGCCAGCCAGCCCTGCTCCTCATTCCACGCGATAGAAGTCACAACGGTGCTTGCCGGCACCGCAACACGTTTGCTGAAGTACACATACATCACCTCCTCTTCTTCTCTTTCCCTCCCGCCGCCTACTTGTCTCGCTCAGCACTTTTTTTTTGTTCTATTCCGGTGTATCGCTTTTTTTTTCTGTTTTTGTTTTGTTTTTGCGCTGTTCCTATTTCTTTTCTCCTCGCTTCTGCCCACCCCGACGGCTGTGCGCAAGCGCCTATAGGGATTGCGCTACTGCTCGCGTCGGTGGGGGGGGGGGTCTTGCGCTTGCTTCCCAATGTACTCGTTCAATCTCTCCTCAGCGGCGAGGCAGCTACGCCGGCGACGACGACGGAAAAGAGGGATATAAAGGGGGAGGGGAAGAGAGGAGAGCAAGAACGCGGAGAAGCAACATAAGCGCACAGCCAGAGACGCCGGCATCCCTCCACACTCCATGCGTAGAGGAACGGGGCATCGGTCCAATTACGGGAACCGTGTGGCAGGCGCAGCAGCGGCCTCACACACGGCACCCTGTGCCGCAGTAAGAACCTCCACAATACAGAAGACAAACACACAAGCAGAGGGAAAAGAATCAAAACACACATTTATACTCACGATGCTCCGCCCAAACTCTGCTCCTCTGCCTTCGCAGCTGTTGCTATTTCTCTGGGTGTTGATTGACATGCCGCTGCGTCTTTTCCAAGGCGCTTGCAGCACTTGTACCCCCATCGGAACCCATCGCGGTCAAAGTAACTGCCGTAGACGCAGGCGTGGCCGTTGCGAGTCGCAGAAAGCGTGCGGGGGAAGGGAACCGCCATTGGCGTCGACGAGGACGACGCCGGCGACGGCGCAGCAGCAGCAGCAGCAGCAGCCACACTGGCGATTGCCTTTTTCATGCGTAGCGAACTCTCCGCAGAGGCTAAGGCGGAGTCGCCGTAGAGCGATCGCACCAAGCGCTCCCGCGCCGTTTCCTCCTCCGTGCTGGCGCCGTTGTCATTGCGGTTACCCTCCTCCTTCCGCTGCTGCCCTTGTCGCTTCTGCCTCTGAAGCTGCTCATCCAGCTCAAAGTCAACGATGGACTTTGACTCACCGTTCAGAAACCGCAGCTGCATATCCAGGTAGGTGTAGTAGTCGCCCGTGCGGTAGCGCTGGAGGTCGCCCTGGAAGGTGCGGGTTGGGTCCGCCGCGTTCGGGTTCCCGCGCATGGAGCCCGTCTTTGGGTCGAAGAGCGCGCCGTCGTCGTCGAGGTTGTGGAGGTGCTTCGGCAACTCTTTGATCTCCGCCCCGCCGCCTGTCACCGCCGTCTGCGTCGCAAAGACGTCCTGCAGACGCGGGTGCTTTTTCACCGCCTCGCCGTTGGCCTCGTGCCTCCCACCTGCCCGCGCCTCTTCCGCCCCCTTATCCTCCTCCTGTGCGGCTTGCTGCAGCAGGTCAACGCCGGCACCCATGGCGTATCGTTCACGCTTCTGCGCGTAGGTTTTTTCCGTCCGCTCAACCTGCATATCGACAGCCGACACCTTGCCGCTGAACCTGGCGCCGACCCTCTTACGGGGCTTGTAGCACTCGCTTGTCTTGTGCGTGCTGGAGCCGCAGTTGCCACAGGCCCCCGCAGTGTACGCCTTTGCCTTTCCGAGCACAACGACCTTGTCGTGCTTGTCCTGAAGCCTGTCCATCGTCTCCGCGGACTTCAGGCGCTGGTGGTCGAGCGTGGGGCCGGAGGCGCCGTAGTACCACGGAGCCTGCGAGATGAGCTGCGGCACATTCGGGCTGATCTCGTTCCCCGACACCTCGTCCACGGCAAGCGGTGCGAGCCCAAACTTCCGCTTCTCCTCCAACTCGCGCTTCTGCCGCAGGCGCTGACGCACCGTCATGCCGGCCTCCTCCTCATCCACAGTGTGCTTCTTCCTGTTCAGCATGATGACCGTGGCCAAGTGCACCTGTGCGTACGTGTGTGAGGGGAAAGTGGGGAAAGGAAGAAGAGTAACAAGGCAAAAAAAAAGGAAGAGAGAGAGAGAGAGAGATAGTGGATTAATGAGAGCACGCCAAGGAGACCCCGTCGCGGGAGCCATAACACCAGCTGACAAGTAATAACGGACGGCGGCGTGTTTGTGGACACGTCTGTTCGCACTTGTGTGAATGTGTACTTTTATGGGTTCCTGAATGCGTTCGCGTGCGTGTTTCTGTGTGTGTGTATGTGCGTGTGCATGGATGGAAAATCCACAACATCGCATACATACCCACACACAGACACACAGAACACACCGATAGACACAGACGCGCCTACGCCCCACCCACTTAACATTTCCTGCCTTGTTGCACTATTGACGTGTATATGTATAAGTTTGCACGTAGCAACGGGTGAGTGGGAGAGACGGAGACTGACGAGAAGAGAGATGTTTGCCACTCCACCACAATCTTCTTTTGTTTGCTCGTTTGCTCCGTTCCCCCCCCCCCCGCCTTGACCATTCTCCCTTCTTTTGCAAAAGAAAAACGCGACGCTTCCGTCGCCTTTCCCCAATCAGGGAGGCCATCAAGGCATCTGTGAACACACACGACAAGACACGTGGAGGTGCAACAGCGAGCAGCACAGTGCTAGAGATGTGCGTGTGTGTGTTGCGCCCCCCCCCCTCCCCCCCACTCTCTCTCTCCCCACTCCACTGCACACATACATGCAGGGAAAAACGGCCGCCGGGCGCCAAAGACAGATGTGTGGGCCGCGTCAACGGCGGCGTCTCACATCTGCGGCGTGGACCCACGGGAAACGTACAGCTGGTAGAGCGGTGGGCAAAAGTTGGGGCCGTAGATGTCAAAGATCTCCTCAATCTCCTCACTGCCGGTGGGGTCGGAGAAGAAGTCCTGGTGCAGCGCAAGGCAGCGATTGAAAACGGGCGTCAAAATCTTCGGGTCTCGCACCTGAAACTTTGCGAGCGACCACAGCAGCCGGCGCGCCTCCCCCGCGTCAATTTGGCGGCAGACGTAGACGCTGCGCTCGGACAAGGCAACCGCCATGTCCTGCTGCAGAAAGTTTGTCCGCGCAAAGGCGTGGGCGGTGTTCACGAGCCCCAGGGCATCGAACTGGTCGGCGATGCTCGCGGCGTGTGAGGCGAGCCGCTTGAACAGCTCCTCGTCCTTGAGCCCAAAGTGGGCGAGGGCTGTGACCGTCTTGGAAATGTCGCGGGCGTCGTGGTCCTGCACCACCGCCAGGGCCCGCTCGGCGAGGTTGTCGAAGAGCTCCGGGTTGTTGATGCCGATGCGCTGGAAGGCGTTGAGGGTCGTGCTGATGTACTGCGCGTTGAACTCGTCGATGAGCTCCACCGCGCGGTTGGTGAGGACGCCAAAGAGCTGGTCGTAGCGGATGCCGAAGTAGGCGAAGGCCATGAACATGCTCGCCACCTGCTCCGCGTTCATCTGGTCCACGTACTCCATCGCCTTTGTGGCGAAGCGCTTGCTCAGCTTCGGGTCCTTCAGCCCAATCTTCGAGAAGGCGACGATGAGCGGGACGAGCTCGTTCACCGTGACGCGCTCCCGCAGCGACATGGCGCGGCGGGCGATGGCGCCAAAGAGGAACTTGTCGCGGTACCGCAGCCGCGAGAAGGCGTTCGCTATGATGACGAGGTGCGCCGCCTCAAACTCCCCCACACGCGCGAGCGTCTGCACGCGCTTCGACAGGAAGCCGAAGAGCTTCTCGTGGTTGATGCCGGTTTTGGAGAAGGCGCTGATGATGTTCGCGACGCCCTTGGCGTCCAGGTACTTCGCGTTGCGGGCGGCCTTCTGCGCCTGCATCTCAATCACCTCGCGCGCGTCGCGCGACTTGAGGGTGGCGCAGGCGGTCACGACGATCGGCAGCACGTCGACGGTGATGAGTTTGTCGTTCTTCAGGCAGTAGTCGATGCACTCCCGCACGAGCTTCGCGTCGCTCTCCATGCCAAAGTAAACGGCAGTGTTGAGCAGCAGCGCGACGGAGCGGGCGTCGAGGCTCTGGCCGGCGATGGAAGTGGCGAAGAGCACACGGCGGGCCTGCTGCGCGAGCATCGGGTTGCCGCCCCGCTCCTGATGCAGCTTTTTCATCTGCAGCGCCTCCACCGCTATGTTGCGCGCGGAAAGCTGCGAGCCGCCCTGCGGATCACTCGGCAGCGACAACTCCCCGCCGTGAATCGTGCCAATCAGCGAGTTGCCCTGATGGCGCACGCCGAAGAGCAAGGCAGAGGCGGCGGCGGCGGCGGCGGCAGCGGCACGTTGCTGCTGAAGCTGCAGGCAAGGCCGCAGTACGCAACGCATCCTCCTAAACCTAACGGTGTCGTGTTTCGCTTCTACTTGCGCCGTCACGGAAAGACACGTAGTAAAGAAAAATGCGCAACAAAGACAATGGGGCGGTCGAGCAACAGATGCCGCGAAATGCCACACAGGCAAGCAGGGAATGGCGGGTGCATCCATGTGTGTGTGTGTGTGTGTGTGTGCGTGTGTGACGCGTGGACGCTAGCCGCGTCCTAAAGGACGCCTGTGGCGACGGGGGCACCATCGCTTCATGGGGGCGTCACTGCCGCCGCATCGACGGCCTTCGCCCGAAACACCGCGCAGTGAAACGGTGTAACGTACAACTCCTTCGGTATCCGCTGCAGAATGCGGTTTTCCCGGCTCAGCTTGGTCATGGCGTCGTTCGTTTCCTCGCAGCGCACCATGAAGCCGTCGCTTTCGGGGAAGAGATGCTGCAGCTCTCGCCGCGACAGCGCGAAGGGGGGCCCACGCACCGTGTTGCCGCGCACGCGTCCGGTGCGGAAGACACCCTCCACGTACATCACCCCGTCCTCCGCGAGTGCCTGCTTGAGCAGGTAGGCGTAGTCCTCGCGCTGCTCGCAGTTCAGCGAGGTCATCGCCTGCCGCTCGTAGATGACGTCAAACTTCACGCCCCGCAGTGGGCCCGTCCAGAGCTCCGGGGCGAATATGTCGCGCCAGTGCAGATGCACTCGGTCGTAGGCGTCGTGCGGGAGGGCCCGCTCGGCGCGCTCCACGCAGGCCCGCATCGCCGTCTCCGACGCGTCCACGGCGTCCACCTCGAACCCGCGCCCCGCCAGCTCCGGCACGATCGGCGAGTCGCCGCAGAGCGGCACGAGCGCGCGCGGCCGCCGCCCCGCCCCTCGCCCCTTCTTGAAGGCGTCGCCGTCGTACATGTCCCGCCCGGTCGCGGCCCGCACGAAGTCAAATGGGCCGCGGTAAAACTCGCCCGTCGACTCCCCAGCCCGCCAGAGCGGGTTGCCCTTGCGCCACTCGTTCTCCCACCACGCCGGGGAGGTGTGCGGCATCGCGGACGGCGACACCGGCACGAACTTGTACCCGAGCATCTCGCGGTACTCATCGACGAGCCACGGGCCAATGAAGACGGCCGCGCCCAGCAGAATGCCGCCCACCGCGACCCAGGCCTGCAGACGGCTGGCGGTGACGGCGCGCGGCAGCCAGCCGCGACTTTTTCCGTCGCCACGATTTCTGCGGAAGCGGCTGAGGATGATCTGGCTCTCAAGCTCTTCACCGGACGGAACCCGGAAGCCGGCGCGGTGCAACGAACACCGCCGCATTCGCACCCCCTTCTAACAGTTTACCCGCCCACTACTAAATTCTCACCACTACGACTGCCGGCTCGCACCTGCCCTCTGCCGGCGCGTCGTGGCAGCACCCCGAGTTGCGTAAGAAAGTAAAACATAAAATGAGAAAGAGTGCGCGTATACGCATACATTATGCATGCATATATATCCATATGCGTACAAACACGCCGGGGGAGGGAATGCGGGGTCTGCTGCGTGTCAACTCCACCGCCACCTTGCAGTGTTTGGTGCTTTTGTTACTTTTTTTTGTATTATTTTGTGTTCCATTTTTGTTTTCGTTTTTTTTTAAATGTCTATAGTCTCCCCCCGCGCGTCAGCGTTAACGGAGCGCGGCGGGGCACTGCGCCAGCGCGAGCAGCACGTACACGTTGGCGTGGAGCTCATGGATCGCCTTTGCGAGTCTCACGGCGATCCTGCCGTCCTCCTGATGAAGCGTCTGCTGGTAGACGCATGCTGTGTAGTCGTACGTGACGACAAGGTCCCGCAGTGCGGCCGCCATGCCGGGCGCCTCCACTACCTCCAACGCATCCCTCTCGTCCTCGGCAATGGGCCACGCCTCGCCCTCACGCAACTTGCCACCCAAGCACGGGTGAACACGCAACAGGCACTGCTTGAACTCTGCCAGCGCGGTGGGAAGGGCGTGCTCAATGCTGCGGCGGTTGCTCAGCGTCGTGAGGGTTGAAAGCATGCTGCGGTCGGCGCGCAGCACAATGCCACGCAGCATCGCGAGGGCCTCCCGAACGCCCTCGTGCTCTTGGCGAATGGCGAGGGAGGAGCACAGGCGCGACGACGGGGACGGTGGCGGGGTGAGTCCGACGGCAGAAACTCCGTCCAGCGCGGCCGAAGTGGCGTTGGACGCCGCCGCCACAGAAAGCGACGGCGACAATGGCGGCGGCACACGCTTGAACGTCTTCGGGCCGCGCAGCTCAACACCGGTGTGAAGTTTGATGAACGGGCGCGTCGTCAGCTTTGGTCGGGCCGCGGTGGGCTGCGTGGACAGCGACGGCGACGACAGCCGCTGGGACCCGCCCCGCGGCGCGGAGGGCCACAGCCGCCGGGCGGCGCTGGCGGAGGCTCGGCCACCCCCAAACCCCGCGCGCAACGGCGCGGACGACACACGCGGCCCGGGCGACTCCACTTGCGCGGAGGCGGCGGGAAGGCACGGCGACGGCGAAGACGCCACCCGCCGCCGCCGCTGCTGCTTGAATCCCGCTTCTCCCGGCTGTATTGCAGCCGCCGCAGTGGCCGTGGGGAGGGAGCCATCGCGTCTTTTCGTGGAACCGCGGCGCTGCAGGGCCTCGCTGCCGCCCCGCACGCTCAGGAGCAGACGGCGCAGGCGCAGCACCTCGCCCTTCAGCTCAATGACTTTCTTCAGGCGAAACTCCGCGAGGCGGTTGGCGCCGTTCAGCTCCTGGCGCAGCGCCTCGTCGCCGCCGCCATCCATGTGCCCAACGCCCACAACGCCCAACACACGGAGAAAGAGAGGGAGACTTCAAACTGCGGACGGCGGCACCGACGCAGCCTAAAGTGGGAAAGACCGTAGTTGGCGAGGCGGGGGCCGCACTCAAGGAGGGAAAGGGGAGCGAAGGGGCAGAGGAGGAAAAAAAAGGAGATATATATATATATATTCATGAAAACAAAAGCAAGAAGAAAAAAAAAACAGATGCATGCAGCAGTTTCCCTCCGACAAACAGAAGGATGCAGCGAGGGAGGGAAGAGGAAGCAGACAACCAAAGAATGCAAAGGGTTCGTACAGAAGAGTAACTGGTACAAAAAAAACCACACAGACACGGCGAAAACTCGGTGGAGCGGACATGCAGGCGTCAGCCACATGAAGAATTAAGAAGCAGTGGGGAGGGGGGATTGTGTCAAGCCGCCTGTAGGAGGGAGGACACCTCGGCTCGTGTGACGGTCATTTCCATCCCGGCGTACATGGGCCAGCGAAGCAGCGCGTCCAAGAAGTCAATCTTCTGCAGGAGCAATGTGGAGAAGTGCTGCCAGAGACGCTGCAGAAGTGTGCAATGAAACGAGCTTTCTTCCTTTCGATCCGTCGCATCGCGGAGGAAGTGCTTTTTCATGCGGCGAGAGCTGGACGGAATGCCGCCACGCACCTCTCGCGGCAGGCAATGCAGGACGCGGCGGACGGCCTCGACGGAGAGCGCGTTGTGGTGCCGCAGCTCCTCGCGTGAATGGATCTGGGCAAGGTCCTCGGCCACAAGCGCAAAGGTGCCGAACTCAGGGAAGTCCTTCACAAGAAGGATGCGTGTGAGGTAGACCTCCTCGTAGTGGTCCCGCAGCGTCCGAGAGGAGGCACACCGCTCCCGCAGCAGCTCCACGGCGTAGGCGGTCTCCGGCAGAGAAGCGTAGAAGGCGCAGAAAAAGGCATGGTGGCGGTACTGCTGAATGATACCACGCTTGACAGAGTTGTTGTCCAGCCCGTCAAGCCACTTCGCCGCCCGCTTTTCAATGGTCTCTATAAAACTGAGCTTCGCGTCCCTGCGCGCCTCGGCGCCGCCAAAGTTCGTAGTGTAGTCGAGGGCCTCAAACGCCTGGTCGACAAAACTCAAAGCAATCGTCGCGTACTTCCCGCGGTTGCAGACGGCGGGCGGCAGTGCGTTGTGTACCGCCTCCATGCGCTGCACGAATGCCGGCAGCTTTGTGAAGCAGCTCAGCATCCCGCCCGGGTGCACGAAGTAGCGCCTGCGACAGGCGGCAATGGAGGCGGTTTGCTCCGCGATGCTCCGTGAGATGGTGGCCGCCACCACCCGCTCCAGCGCCCGAAGTAGCATCTGACAAAAGACGCTTTCCGCGGTGGGGGTGCCCCCACGGCGGTACGCCTGCAGCATGACCATCACCGGCACGGCGTACAGTCGATCACACTTCTCCCCGCAGAACTCCAGAAGCCCCACGAGTTGCCTTAGTAAGTAGCACGGTGGTTGCGCCTGTGCGGCGCTGTTTCCGCCGCTGCCGTCGTCGTCTGCCTCGGCGAAGGAAAGCTTGCTGCTAAGCAAATCCGCCTCGCTGCCCTGCTGCCGAGCGGAGGCGCTCGCCGGGCCGGGGGGGAACTGCACCAGCTTGTCGCCACCAAACAGCTCCAGCAGGGAGTCGTTCAAGAGCCTCGCGGCGTCCTCCGCGTAGGCCGTCAGGGCGCCCTCGTCGAAGGGTCTCGGCAGGTCACCCGCCTCATCGGCCGCTGCGGCCCTCGCAACAACACCGAAGCACTGCTGCAGTGTCTCCTCCTCCTGCAGGACAACACCAAAGGTCGTCTCAAGCACCATGGCAAGCGCCAAATCGGGGCGCAGCCTGTCGTCGGAGGCGCCCGCCCATCCAGAGGCCAAGGATGGGGCAGACGCGCGGGCAGCGGAGACTGAAGCCGCACGAATGTCCGCCACATCGTAAAGCCGCAAACCCGCGTCGCGAGCCGTGGGCAAGTCGACAGATAGTTTCCCCTCTTCCCCCTTCCCTCCCCCGCCGACACCGTTTGGGGTGCGTAACAAACTTGCGACGGGGGTTGAGGCCACGCTGCTGCCCGTGCCCCACATTCGCCGCGGCGTCTCTCCAGCTTCTGTCGTCTCCATGCGGATGGCGAGGGCGTCATCGGGAGAATCCCGCACACCAAGAAGAAACGGGCCGCGGTGACCGACCTTTTTTACATGGGACCGCACGTACTTGAAAAATTTGTGCATTTCCAGGGCGTAAATGCGTTGCATGCTCACCCGGTATCGGCGGAGCACGGCGATGTAGCCCTCCAAGTCAATGTACACCAGCGCCGTGATTACGTCACGGATGCTTGCTAGTTGTGTCATGAGCTCCGAGTGTATTCGCCACACGAGCCGTCCCTTACCGCTATACCGTGTGCGGTCGGCGAGGTACGCTGCCTCGTACTTGCTGATTGTCGCCAGGATGTACGCCTTGGAGCAGCGAGCAATCATGCGACGCTGCTCCATGAAAAAGGCGCGACGCTCCGCCACGGCTGTGATGGGGTAATCCGTCCCAAGCTTTTTGTTCTGCAGCAGTGAACGCATGTGCTTCATCGCAACCGAGAGCACCTGTGCATTGTCACCCTCCGCGAAGAAGCTCACCAGGTCCTCGTCTCGTGTGCTTTGAAGTCGCGCCAGCAGCGTGCTCGTCTGCGGCGGGAGGCTGAGTTGGCTGCATAGCGCCTCAAGGTGTTCGTGCAGCTTCCGCAGATTCCGCTGTTTGCGTTGCAGCGTGTTGCTCTGGTGCTCAATGCGCTGCAGTTGTTCCTTCTTTGAGAGTATTTGCCGCGAGTACTGCCCAATGCGTCCCTCAAGCTCCTCCACGTCAAGCACCAGTGCCGTGATGCGCGAGCGCACCGCCTCCCACGCGCCGACGGACTTCAGCAGCACCTCCACCGACGACAACTCCGCCTCCTTCTGCCGCGTTGAGAGCAGCTTCTCCGCGCTTCGGATGTCGTCAAAGCCGTGCCGGCCAATAAACTGCTGCAGCCGCCGCTCGTCCTCGGCGGTGAGGGCCCGGCGCTTCTCCCGCCGCAGACTCTTCACACGCGCCGCAGCGTCCGCCTCCACCTCGGCGCCCAGCGCATCTGTCAACAAGACCTGCACGTCCCGCGAGACGGTGGTCACGTGTGGCTGCAGGTCCCGCTGCACCTTGTGCACCGCCGCGACGAACATCTCGCGCTGAATGTGCGACTCAAAGGCGACGGAGATCATGCCACTTCCGCCAAAGTTGAAGGTCGCGTCAAAGCTGCCGTCGTGGCTCACGTCCACGAGGCGTGCCACGACAAACACCTCCTTCACCTTGGCCACGCGCCCGGATTCCACCCGCACAACGTTCAGCGTCGTCTGCGACATGGACGACGGCGCCGACGACGAGGAGGCGAAAGGGCGGCAGAGCGCCAGCAGACGCGCCTTCGACCCCTTGCTGGACGTCCCGCGCCCAATAACGACGACGCTCTCGCATGTCAGCACCTCCTCGTGGCGCTGCCGGAACACAAGCTCCACGAGCGACCGCGCCTCATCCCCCATCGCGGCCATTTGCTCGCTAGTGGTTGGTTTTTGCTCCCTCGCCCCACTCTGTACAGTCCGTCTACCCTCGTTGTCCCGGCCTTCACCCTTCCCCCTTGCTGCTGTTCCGCGAACGGGCAGCGGTGAGGAGCTCACAAAAAAAAAGGACCAACAACAACAACAACAACAACAACAAAGCTCCGGACAGAAACAAAAGATGGAAAGAGGATGTCATAGTACAGTGTTCTGTTCTTCGTTGCTTATCCCTCCACACTAGCATTTTAGGGGTATGTGTGTGGGGGGAGGAAAGCATCATGCGTTCAGACCCACACTTTCACTCAGACAAGGCAAGGAAGAAAAGGGGACGCCTCTATGGAATACGTGTATGTCGGTGCAAGTATCTAGTTACATATACCTACACAGCGGGATATATATATATATATATATCTTTTGCACCTGTCACAGCACCGAGGGTGTGGGTGGCAGCGGCATGGGAAGAAAAAGCATGTTGGGCACGGCTGGCTGTACGCGGGTCTCTTGAAAAAGCACCGTGCCGCTTGGATCCGCTGGGCCAAACAACAGGCTGTCGCACAAGTGCTGCCGAATGTCTGGGCCACCGCGACGACGCTCCTCCTCAAGTGCCTTGTCCTTCCGCCGGGTAAAGTTCTGAAAGGTGGCGTTCATAAGATCATCTATGATGGCCTGTTGCTGTCGCTGCTTCCTGGGCTTATCGTCACCCTCCGCATTCTCCACGTTTTCGTTGGGGCGGTCCTGCAGTCGGGGCTCTGCCGCGGCGAACACCTGCGCGTGCAGCCCGTGCACAGGGAGCTTGACGGGATAGCGGTACTTCAGCGCTTCCGCCTGGAAGGAATGCGCGTTGGCGTACTCCGCGTAGTCGAACCTCGCCTCCTCCAAGGCCTGCCGGTGGTTCACCAGCACCGTTGAGCTCTGGCTCTCCGGCAGCGGCAGCGCCGCATCGGCGTGGCTGTTCTCAACGAAGTGGCGCGCCTTCCTCGGGTCCATGCGTTTGCCTGCACGCAGCCCAGTAATGACTGCGGGCGGGCCCAACTCGGTCCTGCGCAGCACGCTCTGCAGGGCGCGAGAGCAGGCGGACGACACGGAGGCAGACGGGAGTGGAGCGTCGTTCGAGGCGGGGGCAGCGACAATCACTCCATCCTCGCGCTGCGGCTGCGCCTCCTCGCGACGAGCAGCCTGAGCCGCGTTGGACGTCGTAGGGGGCTCCAAGACATGCGAAGGGGAGTGTGGGCCCACCTCGGGACACGTGTTCGGCGGGGCCAAGCTAACACTCCGAAGCGTATCCGCAGCCCCAATTGTGCCGGCCACGATACTAATGCTGCTGGGCTGGAATGAGTGCTCAGAGCCTCTGCCAGCGTTGCCACCACCAACGCCCTCGCTGCTGTCCACGTCGTCGTCCCTCACGTCATTGGTGACACCAACCGTGGCCGCTAGCGACTGTAACGGGCCCGCGGCATGCACAGCCACCAGATTGTCCTCCTGCACCGCCTTACCCTGCGCCACCCAGGCAGCATCCGTGCCACCAGCGCCGCTGCTGGGGCCGCAGGGGATCGTCGTGCCAGTGCCGGCATTCGGTCTCACTGGCAAGGCGGCGGCCCCCTGGCTGCTTACGTCCGCCGCGCCGCTCTCCAGCCGCACCGAGTGACACGACACGGACAGCGACGCAGAGGCGGTGGAGGAGGCCTCGTCGCCCATCTCCACCACAATCTCCTCCCCATCACTCATCCCCACGCGGCCAACAGACGCCGGCGTCCGCCTGGGGTCAGGTGGCTGCATGTGCGGCTGCGGCACAAACAGGTTTTCTGCCTCTGCCTCTTCTTCTTCTTCCTCCTCCTCCGCCACCCCATCGCCCTCGCGCGGCAGAAGATCGTGGACGGCCCACTTCCACACATCACCTGCGGACGTCACCACCACCAGTTCCCCGTTCGTAAATAGTTGAATGCCAACGACAGAAAAGCCAACGTCAAAGCGCACGCGCTCCACAACCTCGCCGGATGCTGCCTCCATTTCCAGAAGAATCACCACACCAGAGGCCGTCCCCAGCGCCATAAGCTCCGCGCAGCAACTCGCGCAGCTGATCCGCACGTCAAGGCGCAGCACAGCGGTACAGCTCCACGCAGGTTTGGCGAGCGTCGCGGCAGTCGAAGCCTCCACCACAAGTGGCGGTGGAGAGTACACAGAGAGAACCTCGGGCAGGAACAGCACCGTAAGGGCGTAACTCACCTGCGAAGCGGCGGCGGGCTGAAGTGCAACCGCGGGCGCTGGCTCGTGGGGCAGCGCAGCCACAATTTCACCCGACTCCAGCGCCAGAACATAGAAGTAGTAGTCCGCCGACGAGCAGAAGACATAGTCGCGCTGCACAGAGAGGCGGAGGACAGTGTCCGAGAATACCGGCCGGCGCCACAACAACGTTGCCCCCGCCGCATCACATGGAGCCCGCCAAAGCGCCACCTGTCCACATCCCTCACCACATACCATATAGTCGCCGTCGCAGAAAACAACACTGGGTCGACTGTGAAATCTCGCAAGGACCTCCACTGTGCCTTGTTCCATGTCCGCCAGAAGCAACTCATTTGAGTATGCGAGAGAATAGAGCAGGTGATGTCTGCCGTGCGCGGCATAGAGGGCCGGCACGAGGGAGAAGCACCGCAGCAGTGACTCTAGCGGCGTCTCGCCCAAATGGCTGAGAAAAAGGCGAAACGCGCCGGTGTCAATGTTGATAAGCTCCACAAACCCGCCCTTTGTCGTCACGGCGATGCAGTCGTGCAGAATGGAACTTGCGGACACCCGCACCACGTCGTGGCGGCAGCGCTCAAACCGCTCCAGCAGGGGCTGGTCCTCCCGCTCAAGGGTGTCCAACTCGCGCAGCGTCACCACCGAGGACATTGCAGCCCCCCTCTTCCCTCTCACCGGGCCACTACGACAACGAGTGTCAGGTTTGGCCCAAGTGGCAAGGGCACCGCAACCCCCCAGAAACGAAGGACAAAAAAGAAGAAAAGAAAAAGGAAAAAAAAAGAGGAAGAAAATGAAGAGACACGGCTCCGCCGCTGTGGAAAGGCCCACAAAAACCTCGGAAAGGAAAAAAGTCAATCGTTTGCTTGTGTATTTGTTTTTTTTCTGTGTGTGTATGTGTGTGGATTTGTCATTTTTAAACTATTTTGGGGACAAAAAAAACAACAACAACAACAAAAACACAAACACAAGAAGAACACAGTGCTTTACGTAGGACTAATACAGTCGGGGTTACTTTTATAAATGCGGGTAAGCAGTTATTGCAATCCCCCCATCAACAACACATATTGCTGTTGTGGTTGTTGTCGCTTTTCATTTTAGTTTGTATACGCGCCAGAGTCGTCTTTCTTTTTTTTTTTTCTTCGTCTCTTTTTTTGTTCTTTCTTTCTTGTTTTTTTTTTTTTTCACTCGTCGCCTCTCTCGCCCGCGCGACTTTTTGAGGCGAGAAGCCGCCTCAGTGGACTTCCTGCGCCTCAGGCGCGCAGGACACCTTTTTTTCCCGCGAGTGAAGGGGGGGCATGTCAAAGAGAGAGCTGATCCCCTCGTCGCGCGTGTGCAGGTCGATGACGGTGGCGAGAAGGGGGGCGATGGTGAGGACCTTCAGCTTGGGAATCAGGCGAAGGTGCTCCTCCTGCGGAATGGAGTCGGACACAACAATCTCACTAAGGGTCTCGCAGTCGTTGATGCGCTGGGCGCACGGCGGGGTCAAAATGCCGTGGGTAAAGCAAGCAGTTATCTTCGTTGCGCCCATTTCGCTGAGAAGCTCGCACGCGCGCTCGATTATGTGGCCCGTGTCGCATATGCCCCCCAGCACAACGCAGATGCGGCCCTTGACATCACCAACGGGCTGCAACGTTTCGACGCCGGAGGCGCTGTACCGCTTCAAGATGGTTACAATGCAATCAATGTTGAGGATGTCGGCCAGCCTTCGCGCCCGCGCTATGCCGCCGGAACCAACCGAAACAATGGCCATGTTGCCTGGGTCAAACCAAGACTGGCTACACAGGTACTTTGCAAACTCGGGGTTCATCTGCAGGTTGTCGAGTGGGGTGTTTTCAAAGAAGCCTTGAATCTGCCCAGAGTGGAGATCCAGTGTCGTGATGCGGTCGGCGCCCGCCTGTGTCAACATCTCCGCAAGGGCGGAGGAAGACACGGTGCTGCGTACGCTTTGCTTGCTGTCCTGCCGGGAGTAGGCGAGGTACGGAATCACCGCAGTGACTCGCCTGGCATTGCTCAGACGCATCTTTCGAATTAGGAAAAGCAGCTCCATGAAAGCCGTGTTCACGTCAATCACTTCATTTCCTGTCGTGCTTTGAATGATATAGACATCGGCGCCAAGAACACTCTCATCAATGCGCACGTTCACCTCGCCATTGGCGTGCTGCCCCACCAGGGTTTGGTGAGTTGGGAGTCCCAGCAGCATCGACACCGCCTCCGCGAGGGGACGATTCCCGTTCCCGGAAACGATGCACGGAGGCGGGATATCTTTGCCGTGGCGTGGGGAAACAGTTCCCTGCATCGGATGCACCGCCGCCATGGACTCACCCGGGGCGTAGTAGAAGGCGCTCTTTATCCGCACCAACTGCTTGTGCAACGCCAGGTGCTGGTCCGCGAGAGACGCAGAAGGGCTCCGCGTCTCTCCCTGCGCCTCCTCCTCAGGCGTGCCGGCGGGAATCATAAACTTGTGCATGGCGCCAACTGCCCGCTGCGGCTGCTGCATGCCCGTACCCCAACACCTCAGTTCTGAAGAACACAACGCACTTGCCGTATCCGTCGATGTATGCCTCCGCACGTCTTCCGCTTTGCTTTAATCTGTTGTTGTGCTCTTCGCAACTCAGAGACAAGAAGAAGGAAAAGCAGCAAAGAAGACACACTCCCCTCGCGGTGAAAAGGCGGGGGACAGCCCATAGGACGCAACACATCTCAGCTGCACGCATGCGCGTGTCCGCTCGATCGCAATCTTGCCTTCCTTGTTGTTCGTCATGTACATCTAGGTGCCTGCTGTAGCTCTACATTGGGGACGCACTACTCTCATGACCCACTCACCGGTAATGCGTGCATCAGTCGCTCATGCATTCACATACAACATATATATATATACACATATGTATATATATATATATGTATTTCTTTTTTTTGTTCATGCTTTCATTGGTTTCAAGTAAAGGAAACAGATCGTTTTTGTGTTGCCTCATCCCACCGGTGGCGGCGACTGTCGTTGTTTTAGTTGCTGTTGCTGCTGCTGCATCTCTGGCAGCATGAGCAACTTACTCATCTCGTGGTACTTCTTCTGGAACGCCTTGAGGTCCAAGGCATGCTCGAGGCTCACGTCGCGGGTGTTGCGGTACTCCGCCGGCGGTAACCCTGGGAAGAAGAACGCGAGCAGTGCATCCATTTCCCGCGGCGCAGGGTTGCCGCCCAGAACTTCCTCAATGCAACGGCGCAGCTGCACCGGCGTTACCGAGGTGTCGCGATTCGGGTTTGTCAGGGTGTAGATGTCCGCCCGGCGCTGCGTGTATGCCCGCGGCATCGTCGAGGCAAGGCGAAACATCTGCAGGCTGTTGAGGCACCGCGCCTCGAGCCTCTCGCAGAGCTGACGTAGCGCCTTCCTTACAACCGCGCGCTGATCGACGTCAATGGGCTCGTGCTTCTGCTGGCCATTGTCCGCCGCCGTCTCAGACATCCACCGCAGAAGGTCATCCATCGTCAGGTAGCCCGTCTCTGGAAACGGGGCGAGATGGTCAAAGAGCGCCTGCCCGTCCACGCGGCGCTCCGTGATCTGCAGCTCCTGCAGGTGATTGACAAACTCCGTCACACTCACCACCCCGTCCTTGTCGCGGTCAAACCCCAGAAAGGCGTCCCTGCAGGTGTGGAAGCGTGTACTCAGGTACAGTCGGAAGGCGGAGATGAGCAGCTGTAGCTGCTCCTCATTCATCACTGGCTCGTTCTTCCCCGCCAAGTAGTTCACAGTGTGCTCGTCCATGTTCACTACCTCGAACTTGTGTCCGTTCACCACGATGACGGCGCCAACAGGGAAGTCAGGGACGGTGTAGTACGCCCCAGCGGCACCGTCCGGCTTTGGTAGGCGCTTTCGACTGCAGAAGCAACCACCCAGGAAGCCGGAGTTTCGCACAGGGGTCTCACGCACCATAGACTCCTCGGTCTCTGTGTAATACGTGAGCGTGAAACGCCGCTGACGCTCAACGGCGGGACACGGCGGCGCAAGACGCAAGAGAAAGCGCAGCACATCCTTAGTTTTGCGCGCCGTCCGCTTCTCCAAGGCAGCCTCGTCTTTTCCAGTAGGAGCTACGGAGGCCGGCGTGGCAGTGAGCCGAAATGCAGTGACCTTCGAGTCCGGAGAGAGTCCGTACTGGCTACGGCAATCCACCGCGTCGGAGAGTTTGACGCCATATGTCTCCAAATAGTACGCGCGTGTGAAATCGTCGCAGTCGTACAAAAACACACGGCGACCAAGCACGTTGATGGTGACGCCAACACCGAGGTCCGTTGCCGTGTAGTGCCCCTCGGGCCCAACGTACGGCTCCCGCATGCCGTTGACGCGGTGGGCAAACGTCAGCTCGTTGGCCCTCGCGATGGATCCCTCCCTCGGCACCCACCCGCGCGAGAGAAAGAGGGACGGGGTGGCCTCGTTGGACGTGGGCCGCTCCACCACCGCGATGGAGTCGTCCTCCACAAAGTACAACACCTCAAGCTTCCTGACGATGCCCCCCGCCACCTTGTTGCGTTCGTCCAGGAGGGCGTAGAAGCGCAACACTTTCCCACTGTCCTGCACAAAGCGTGCCGCCCGCACCGCCTCCTCCCCGTGGAAGTCCTGTGAAAGAATACCAAACTTACCAGACAGCATCCGTTCCTGGTGTCGTTTCCAGTCACTCATAAAGGAGGAATCTGGACACGTTACAGGGGAGGCAACGTTCACGCCAAGGGCAGTGAGGAACTCGCGTGTGAACGGGTCACAGTCATACAAGAAAAATTCTACGGCATTAATGCGCACAGGTCGACCTACGTTGAAGTGGTTAAGAGAGAGAAACTCTTCGTCAGGAAATTCCTCCCGCTGTCGTGGGTCGGCACGCACTGGCTGGCGCTTAAGAAAGGTTCCCCCACGCAGTCCACTGTTTGGAATGCATGGCTCTTGTATCAAGACTGTGTCATCCTCTGGAAAGAAATCTATGACGACGCGGCGGTGCCAATACTCTTCTGTGCACCCCTCCGGGGCTTTCTCCGTGAAAAAGGCGTAGAAGCGAAGCACCTTGTCGGCGAGCGTCGTGTACTGCGCACGCCGATCAGCCTCAATGCCGCCTGCTCTCCTTGTCGATAGGGCATGCATAAGCTGCTGCGCCGTCAGCCCCAGCCCCTCTGGAGGGGTGTGGTCGTAGACCCCCTTTGGCAAAAATGCCCGCTTCCCACGGAACTCGGCCTCCAACTGCTGCGGCTTGTCCTGCACCTTGCGGAATGCCTGGTCAAGCCAATTGTGACCCACGCGCGGCGGCAGCAGCTTCGGGTCGAGGGTGCGAATGTACTCCGTGGGCACTTCATGCCCGAGAGCCAGCGGCCTCGGGGAGGTCATCTGCAGTTACTTCCGCATAGCACAGATGCAAGTCAGGTGCATGTGTGTGTGCGTGTGTGCGGGGAAAAAAGAGCCAGAGAGTAGAACCACGTGAGATGGAAGTCAAGGACCCCACAGCGGTGCCATGTGAGTAGTAACCCCCCGCGTTGGTTGCTGCTGTTGGACAGGCAACAGAGAACAGGTGGAAAAAGAAATATATAATTTGGGAGAAAAATATTCTCTGCTGCTCGAGAAGTGGGCTGAAAGTGAGTAGAATCCGCAAACTCCACACGACACTAGTTTTTTTTTTCCCCTCCCTCCTTCTTTTTTTTTCTTCTTCTTTTTTCTTTCTTCGCATCTGTTGCTCAAAAGCGCAAAAAAAAAAAAACAATAATAGTCATAGTCAATAATAATAATAATAATAATAATAATAATTAAAATGGTTCGGCGCAAAGACGGGCACCACTGCACGTTGCCTCGTTCCATCCCGCTTTCGCTCTTCTCGTTTCTTCTTCTTCTTCTTGGCATTTGCATTATTGAATGTCTTTGTTTACCCTCCGTGGTACAAGCTGCGTCGAAAGGGTCAACACCGTGAAGCCGTTTTATGCGCGTTTCCGTCGCCTGTTCAAGAGTTCCGCTTACTTTCCAAACCGGATGATTCCGGCCGAAATAAGGGTGTTGATCTTTGCAGCAATTGTGGGATCCCGCAGGTAGTCTTGGATGCGCGAGGGGTCCCGCTGCATCTCACCCAGTACCAGCTGCATGTAGCTGTCTTGCATGATGGCGGCAACCTCTGGATCTGCCATGGCACGTTTTGCCACCTCGTCACTGTCCGCGGAGTCGCCACCAGTAGCCATCTCCTGAATCTTCATCATTGTCCGCATGCGCCCCTCCTTACACTCCGCATTTGCCGGGTCATGTTTGAGGCCCTCGTCATACGCCTGCATAGCCTTGTTGTACTGCTTCGTCCAGAAAAGGGCGTGCCCGCGTCTGGCATGTGCCTTGACAAATTCCGGTTTAAGACTGATGCACTTCTCGCTGTCCGCGAGAGCCTGGCTGTAGGCCCCGAGCTTCAAATACGCCGCGGCGCGATTGCTGTACGTCGTGTGCTCCTCTGGGTTACGTTTAATCGCCTCCGTGTACGCCTCCACGGCCTCAGGAAACTTGTCAGACTTGAAGAACGCGTTGCCCTCTTCCTTCTTCTGCAGCGCTAGCTCAGGATTCAAGTAGGCCTCAATTTCGGCCCTTTCCTTCTCCTTCTCACAAGCATTCAGCTTCGCAAGGGTGTCAGGGTTGCGGTGCTCCACCAGCGCCTTCTTAAACAGCGCAATAGCCTCATCAAAACGCTTGAGCCGCTGCAAGCATAGTGCCTCGCGTGTCATAAGTTTGGCGAGCACGGTGTAGTCACAACGATGCTCGCGGCCGTGCTCCAGAGCTTCTTCGCACTTCTCTACGCACGCCTCATACTCGCCTTTTTCAAAAATAACTGCAGTGATGTTAAGGAGGTAAACGGTGTTTGTGGCGTCCTTGGCAAGGGCCTCCTGATACTTCTGTAGCGCCTCATCAAAGTTTCGTTGCTTGTACAGGGCATTCCCTTCCTCCTTTAAACGCAGCGCCTCAGTGGCTTCGGGTGAAAGTTCAGCTGCTGCAGCCTTCTTTTTTTCCTCTTCCTCCTTCATTTTCGCTTCCTGCTGCTTCTGCCGTTGCTGTCTTGCGAGTTCTTGCTCCTCCTCCTCCTCGTCGCCGGGGAGCTCCAGCCCACTGAGGACCATGAACGTTGCCATGAAACGTTGATCCTTCAGGTGCATTTGTACCTTAGAAGGATCTTTCATAACTTCGTCGATCATGCGAACGTAATCGGGTTGCAGAAGGTACAGTGAAAGCTTTGGATGGGCCTGTATCTTTCCGATGGCATCCGGACCAAACACCTTCGCAAAGGGATTTTGCATTCTGGAAGCAACTTTATCCTTCTCCACTGCAGCAATGCCCTCGGTACACGCCGTGTTTGCGGGATCCACAGCCAACCCCTTGTTGTACGCCGCAGCAGCCTCATCGTAGCGCCGAAGTCCGTGAAGGGCGGCACCTTGTCGCACGTAACCTTTCACCCAATCCGGCTTAATTGAGACACACTTCTCGGCGTCCTGGAGCGCACTTGGATACTGATGCAGAGCCGCATGACAGGCAGATCGGTTGCTGTAGAGGACATGGTTGGAGGGATCCAAATTAATGGCCTGAGTGAAGAGCTCCGCAGCCTCCGTATAGCGACCCGCGGAAAACTCCTGGTTGCCCTTATTCTTAAGTTCTGTTGCGTCCATTAAACCTGGAGTAGTCTAGACACAAAAAACCACACAGAGCACACACACACACACACAACAAGGAAGGTAAGATGACCGGCAAACATATATACATAATACAATCCGTAGTAAATAAATGCCCATATATATATATATATATATATTTCAGACTTCAAGGCGTCAAGGCAAAATATAGCCTCTCGCCAAGGAAAATATTGTCTTTCGCCATTGATGACACCGCAAACACCAATTCAATCATATCCACTCACAATGCTATCCATTCCCCACACTCTTTTTATTGATGACGGTGCCCTTCTTTTTTTTCCTTTTTTTTCCTTTTTTACTTCTTTCGTTGTTTCCTTGCTTTCCTTCCCCTAATAGCGCGTGAATGCATGACTCCTAGTGAATCTTTCTCCGCTATACAAATTCCAACAGCGATCAATGATTCGCCCTCTTCTTCTGATCACCCTTGGAAGAATCAGCCTCCTCGCGTTGGTTGATGCGAGCCTGAAGAGCGAGAACCTCCTTCAGTAGGCGATCACGCAGGCCTTCTGAGCTGCCGGATTGAATGGCCTTCGGGCTCTTCTCCACTTGCTCAGCTGCCTTCTTCGCCTGGGCTTGGGACATAATTTCACGTACCTCCTTCACCGAACGAAGTCGAACGGGCAGGAGACGACGCTCTTCCAGCGGAGACCACCACTGCCAGCCGGTGATGTCCACCTCCAGCTCGGCGCGATCACGAACCTCTGGGCACCAGTCCATGTAACGCCAAACGCCAAGTTGGCCCTCAAGGTGCTTGATTGTCAAACGCTGCATAATTGCCTCGCGGGCCAGAACAGGTTTAAATCGCTCAAGGAGCTCAACCAGATTATCCAAGCGTCGATCCTGTGCAGGCTTTCTGTACTCTTGAAGAACGGCGTCGATCTGCTTATCGTCACATTCTGTGGTCTGAGTTGCAAGCACATCGTATCGGGCACGTTTTGCAGTAACAAGTTCACGGTCAATTACGGCGGCGTACTCTTGGTCCCAATGAATTTTTGGAAGCAAAGCACTTGGTAAACCTTTTTCCGCAGAAATCCGCCGAAAGGCGGCCAATTTCTTTTTTGATTCCGCCTCATCCTTCAAATGAGCCAATTTTGCCTCGTCCTCTGGAGTGTACACAACCCATTTGCCTATCTGGTCAAAGTCACATTTGCCCTCTTCCTTATGGTAGGACCAGAGAGCATGGCGAAGGCAACGCTCCATTAGTGTAAGCTTATCCATAGGTTGATCATCGGTGGTATTTTTCCGCAACTTTTCAGCTCCGCCAAGCAAGGTATCAATCTCTTTTTCAAGTTGCTCTATCGTGGCAGTTGACTTCCGGGGGTATTGAGGCGGCACTTCTCCTTTATACCGTTTAATCATTTCGATGGCGATGCTGGTGTTCCTCTTCACCTGCTCATCCTTAGTTAGCTGTGTATTCGGGGTTGCCGGAAAATACAGCATAGGCGCCACACCAGAGATGCATCGAGAGCCTTTTGCCCCGAACTTGGAGTTAGCCACGCGACGCATTGTGATCCTCTCTTTAAAACATATACAAAAAATAAAGGTGAGCGCAAGAAGAACAACGATAAAAAGTGTGCAAATATTGATGTCGCAACTTTATTACCTCTGAAGTAAATAGCAACAAGAAAAAAAAAAACTCATATAGTAATAATAATATTACACAATTTTTTTTTTGCATTTGGCGTTTTTGTTTTCCACCCCGCCCCTCTCTTTTGGGAAAAAGGCATTTCTAAGCACTTCCGTAACGAAATAGAACCCGATTTTGTTCACGAGGTTGCAAGCGTCCCAGTGACACAACTTGCAGCTCAAGTAGGGGTAGAGATGCGGTAGGAGCCGGCCTCGGTCTTTCGCTACGTCGTAACACTCTACGTACAGTTCGCTGTGAAACCGCTGAAGTCACAGCAGTCTCGTGCCTATTTCTTTGTACTCGACGGGTGTGAGACCTCAGAGCGGGCAAGTGTGACGAACTCTCTTCAGTCACGTGATTTACACTACCAGAAATTACGACTGGGATATGATCCAAGGGACAAACTGCTGAATGTTCTGTTAGCCAACTTTGGGCACATGAAACATGAAAAAAATGCCCGCATAAAAGCCAAACACAAGCACTATTGCTATCAAAAGCCTCTAGGCATATATGGCATGTATCATATTCAAGTGAACTATTCCAACTCCCACGTTTAAGTGCCATAAACTGTTCCATCGTTAACACTCGACGACCACTCCTTTCATCAAGCTGAAGAAGAGTTTCATAATCATTCGGATTAATCTCTCTATACATTAACGGAATAACCTCCGCAGGAACCTGGGTTGGGGGTTCTTGAACAGCTTGTACACGCGCGGGTCTCCGACCATCGTGTCTCTCTGCAATATCTCTAGCTCCCAAGATCGAGAATGGATGACTTGCATGAGTATCAGTACAGTGAAAACAGTCCGCACATAAGACATAGTCTTGGCAAAATAAACAACTATAGCACTCCCCCGCTGCATACTTTTTGCATCCAGAGCATTTCTTGCTCGTAGCGCTTGGATCATTTATCCAGGGACTTCTACAGTACGGGCATCGTAGTAAAACGCCACAATTATGACGCACATATTGTTTAAAACAATATAAATGAAGGTGTCTACCACAACTTGCTTTACAGTAGCATAAAGAACTGTCATTGAAGAGGTCTTCGAAACATATTGGGCATACATCACCTTGTTCAACCTGTTTAGGGGCAACGGTTCCTGTTACATTGGCTTGCTTCTGTACATTTCGAACTCTTTTCTCGGCCCTGAGCAATTCGTCAATTTCCGCCGCCACTAGTGATTTTTGCCAAGCCAGGGGGTTTTCCTTTGGTAAGAAAAATACCTTGCACAGGATAAACAGAACATGAAGACATAACTCTTGGCCGTCGCAGCAAGAGCATTCGTGAGGATCTCCTATAGATGTTCTAAATTTTTCTCGTCCCTCACGTCGACTCAAAACAAAACTTGTGGGTCCAATGCGTCTAACTAATAGTAATTGACAAGACGGCAACTGTTCAAAGAGGTCTTTCACGTGCCGTGGACAATTGGTCCGCCATGGCACGCTTCGGGACATAACTTCAGCACGCACGCATCCAAGCTAACTAACGAGTTCTCTAGCCAAGCTGCCAATAATATTAATTATTAGTAGTATTATATTACTATTATGGTATTACTTTCTTTTTAATAAAGAAGAGGCAAAAAAAAAAGGAGGATGTTTGTGTGAAAGAAGAGTAAACACTGCGCGTCGCAAGCAACTTATTACAAAACCTAAATGTCTTCTGAATCAGGGAATTTAAAACCAAAATTTCAATTGTATGGGAAAAAAAAACCGTCATCATTCATGTCTTGCTGCAAATCAAACTATCAAGAGTTCGTTTTACACCTATGCGGACAGCGTCCCGAATTTTACTGGTTCCGGTACTGCTTGGCTTTATTTCCTTTTCCACTGATAAGTTCTTCTCGCTGATCTCACCTTTGACAGCTGCACTCTTGCTTGAAACCAATTCGGCCCCTTGTTTCGCCCTTGGACGAGCACCCGCCGGGTTAGCTTCCCGCAATCTTCTGGCTCGTGCAAACGCCCTTCCTTTTTTCTCAAGCTGCTTGCGGAATCCGCCTTTGCCACCGCATAACCGCAATATCACATAATAGTGTCCAAGCCCCACTGACTCATCTGGAACAGAAACAAAACCAGTGGTTCCTTTCCTGTACAGCTCGATGGAGTCAACATCCAAACCGAGAATAGTGGATAACGATTCCCGCAACTCAAAGGCAGAACAGGATGTCGCACGAGTAATAGTTTTCATTTTAGGGCATATTGTGCACGAGATGAGATTAACTCCTGCCCCTTCAAATTCATTCCGACTACGTGAAATTAACATCTGCCTAAAAATTTTCTCCCTGTTTCCTACTTTGGATTTAACAAAAAAATGAATAAGAGATATCTCATAGTGCTTATTTGCACCCCAGCTACAATAACAATAACTTCGAAGTTGCAAATATATATATATATATATATAATGAAAAACAAATAGGAAAAATAAACGATCCCAAGTGCTATGAAGTGCGTATAACAAATTTAGTGTCTCTATTTCGGCGCTTGCTGTTTACATGCAGTTTTTTTTTCCTACATTTGTGCGTGTGTGTGTGTGTGTGTTGGCTCCTCCACGAAAAGAAAAAAAGAAAAATCCATTTGTTTCAGCTTTTTTTTTGTGAAACACCACCTCAGCAATTTAGATAACAAGACGTTAAGCTGGTAAAAAGGGCCGTCCGCTTTCAATGCATCAGGCAACATCATCTACCGAAAGAAAAAAGAACAGGAAATACGGGAACAAAGAGCCCGTTCAAGAAGCAATCCCCACCAAAATTGCCCCCCGCGCCAAACATGAACCCCGTTTAAAGCATCGACGGAGACGCCGTTGTTCTTTTTTTTTTACTTCTCCCACGGCCGCGCGGCGCGCCGGCTGGCCCATTCTCCTTTTGTTTTAGTGCGGGTTGCCGCCGCTGCGGCGTCGGCCCCCGGCGGGGACTCGCAGGGGGGTGCGTGAAGCTGCGCCCTTTTGCCGGCGCCTGGCGGCGGGAAGTTCGTTCTGTTTTTCGTTCGTCTGCACCGGAAGTCGGGTGGTGGCGCGTGCGGCCGAAAGCGCTTGCGAATTCTACGGGGGTGTTGCCATTGCCGTTTACCCCGATATATGTATAGATGCTGTGGAAGGGTTTCTTCATTTATTTTTTTCCCCATTTTGATTTATTAGAAAGCCCTAGCGAACACACGGAATTATAGAGACCGATTATAAAACTTTTTACCCACAGCTGCTCTAATTGTGCGCCACAAATTTTTTTGACAACGCCCGCGGCGGTGAACACTTTTTTTTTTTTGCGGATGTTCTTCATTTGGGCTGACAGCGAGAAAGTGAGAAATAATGGCCCTCCCGCAGTTTGGGTTTTGGGGTGATGTTTCTTTTTTCTCTTTGGGTTGCTCCTGAAGGGAGTGTGATGAAAGGGGTGGCTTAGCCGGCTTTTTTTTCTCAGGGATACAAAAAAAAGAGCAAATTATATGGGCTTTGTTGACTGATGTAGGGTCGCTAATTTGTGTGTGTGTTTTTTTTCTGCTTCCTTTTTTTTATAGATTGAACTATCCATTATTGACTGTTATAGACCAAAAAGGCAAGTGCTTTTTTTTTTCCCACGTGCTATCACACCTCTGTAATCAAAGTGGGTTTTTATGTTGTTATTGAAGCCGTTCTGTGGACACTTGCGGTTTTGGGACACGTAAGGAAATTGCAATATCCCTTTTCTTCTTTCTAGTGAAGCAGCGATGATTATCTTTCCTTTTCATTCCCTTACCACTCAATAAGGTAAGGCCATGTTTTCATTTATACCTTGTTCCATGGCATTTGTATTGGCCTGGAAAAAGAATGCGATGTGGGAAAGCTGTGCATAGATAATTTATTTTCTTTACGGCTTGTATTTGCGCAGTTTCTGAATTACCATGGCATCTGCATTCGAAACTGGACTGGATGGATTTTTTTTGTGTCTTTGCTTTCTCTGTGTAACGATTTCGTATTATATGAAAAAAAATTCATTTTCTTTGTTGTTCTCCTTTAGATATTTTTTGCAGTTATTGATTTGGGAGCCTTATACAGCGGCGGAGGGGAAGTCTTGCTGCTCCTTTGATTCCCTAAATCTGGAAATGTTTTCCTTCTGCTCTGCTTTGCTTGTTTTAGGCGTGGTTTAAGTTTTTTTTAATGTGAGTAGCAGCGTGGCCTTAAAGATTGTTATTTATTGGGCTCACAAACAGCCCAATTATCATCGATCACCTTTTTCTGTCAATTGTTGCAATTTGCAGTTTGTGGATAAATTGGATAAATTCCAGTTGGGTGAGAATTTCTCTCCCGGTGCGCCACGCTGTTTAGCCTTTTTTTTTCAACTTGGCAACGCAACCATTATCAGTGGTTTAAATAATATTATCAATTTTTTTATCCAACTCGCGAACATTATGTGAGAGTGTCAATTTGAGTTGTATCGAATTGTCTTATGAGCGGAAACACACTTCTACTTGTGGCTCCACACAAGCTGCCGGCATTTCATCTTCGACGTCCTTTCTAGTGGGTTGTTGGAGCTTTTCAGTAGCAGCAACAGCGACAAAAGAGGATGCGCTGCCCTTTGGCTGAATGTGGGCGCATATTTGTCATGGAGTTCTCCTCATGTCATATTTGGCTACTCGTTTTTTTTTTGCTCTTCACGTTCTTTACTTTTATTGTCGTTTCTTTCACTTACTATTCTTCTGTGCGGTGGAGCGAATTGGAGGTCAGGCAAGAAAGAGAACGAGAGAGTCCACGCACGGGTGCAAATTGTCACACTCAAGTCGTTTGCAATGGGAGGGGGCTTTTCCATCTGGAACAAGCGGAAAGGTGCTAGGAAGGATAGTATAAGGGCAAGAACACAAAGGAGCTATAGTCGAAGAAAGAGCAGCAACACGGCGTCCATCGTAAAACAAACAAAGGAAGGAAATAATGAAGATGTGACTGATCCCGCTTCCGGTGCGACACCGCTTATGCCCCTAACAAAAAAGCTTTCGACCAGACGAGTATCTTTTGTTCACGCGCCGCCGAAGGATCCAGCGTTGACAACCCCCACAACTGGCATTTTGTCCAAGGGAACCAACACCAGCTGCAGAAACTTGTTGCAGCAGTTGCGGGATATTCCCGTGGTGACCGCTGACGATGGTGCGAGCGATATGTCAGAATCTTTGTCACCTGCGAGAGCGCCCGAAGCAAGGTTATCACCTCCGCAAAATCCGCTGTTGCACCCAGCAGAGCCTGTTGGACCTCTACCAGGAAACTCTGCGATAGTACCGACGGAAGGGGTGGGGTCCGTGGCGTTGCCGGGCTCTGGCGACTCTGACAAGGCTTCATCTCTAGGCAGTCCAACTGAGAGAAGAGAAACAGCGAAACCCTGGACGAGGCCTCCCGACAATTTTTTTGGAGAGACCAATACACCACCTAATGTAACTTCCAATCCGGTGGTTAAACAGGGGGACTCGCCGCCGAAGGGCCCCCGAAAGACTCGCTTTCGGCGACGGATGCGGCTCCCTATTAAAAAAGGAAATGAAGGTGGTACCGTAGCAGATGCCAATTTCCCAGCAACAGGCGTGCCGCAGAAAGCAGAGTCGACAAACAACATTATTTTTCCCTCTTTGGGAAACAAGTTTGAGTTTGATTGGTAGAGCGTGTGTGAGACGCAGATTCAGGATACAAGGAATCTGTACTGTAAGCCAAGCATCAGTAGCAGCATCGTGAGTTATGACAATGCAAAAAAAAAAAAATAACAACTAAATGATGTGATGCTCGTGGAAGAAAAGGTGCAAAGCACCTTTTTTCTTAAACCCAACAGCAGCTTGGCCTTTTCTCTCTTGGCGCTCTTCTTAAACGTCGCCCCTTCATTTTTTGAAGCACACCTCCAATTGACTTTTCTACAGAAGTTCTATTTGTATATGTTAAGAAAACAAAAAGGTGTGTCAGCCCACTGTCTTATGTACCCTTGCTTTGGTTTGGAGGTTAAATACTGCCTTCTTTGGCTCCATGTTAAATAGATCTGCATTTTCTTTTTCTATTAGCGTCAACATCTTCACCTGACGCCTTTTTATTTTTTTCAACTTTGTTCTCCTCTCGCAGCAGCTGATTTCGTGTCCGTTTGATGAGGAGTTTACGTGGATGCATCAGATGACTTGTGTCTTTGACAAATAGTAAAGATAGTTTGCTTCTGTACAGTCGTGTGTTTTTTGTTTTTGCTTTTCTCGTTGTATGTGTCCGTTGTCTGTGAATCCTTTTTTGGTCATTCTTGTCGTTTTTGGTTTGTTTTTCTTTTGCTTTTTGGGTGGTTGTTTCTCTGCCTTGAGTGAGGAATGTTTAATTTTATTTTCTTACACTTTGCTTTCTTTGTGTGCGTGTCTTTTTGCCGCTCTCATCAAATTCTCAGTTATTTTAGCTTGTCATCAGCAACCTCCTCTACACGAACAAACACGCACACTCTTTATATGTGTATATACTGTGGGGTTTGTTAGATGGATAATGTGCATACATGATATGTTTTGTGAGTATATCCCTCTCAGTATATATATATGCTTTTGTGTGTATGTGTGTGTGTTTCCTGTCAGTGGTGCTTGGAGGACGTATGGTGGTGAGTCCCCTTGATTGCCCACCCGCTCCTGCTTTTCATTTGCTCGCTCTCTGGATGTTACCGTTGCTTCATGTACCCTGCTTCTCTCCCCGTAGAGGGCGAGAGGAGGCACAGTCAGCGGTGTGCTTACTGCATACAAGAAGGTGGAAGTAAACGGAGGAGGAGGGGGTGGATGGATGACACCCTGCCGACAGTTGCCCAACTGGGTTTGGGGGCGGCCGTTTCATCACCACCCGGTGAGCAGAAGCGACGGCGTTGTGCGGCCGCATCATTGCCCCAGTTGCACTACGATCGCGTCCAAACGGCGGAAATGGAGACGCAACTGGCCGCGAATTCAAGACATGCGTACGTGAACTTGCCGCCTGCCGTTGACGTGGAAACTGTCGAGGAAGCAAAGGCCATGTTGGACCGCTGGGAGGCATGGAATCTCCTCCTACAGCAACTGCTGCAGTGTAACTACACAACACAGCCACCACCCAGGCGCAGGAAGGGCGACGCGGCGTCTGCTGTCGCCACTGAAACCATCGCTTGCTCCCCGGCATGCGATCAAACAAGCCCGCATGCCGACACAAGTGATGGCAATGCACGGTGTACGCAAATAAGCGGAGGGTCTTTACACCTCCACACTGAACTGGCTACAGGGTCGGGATCAGTTACAAAAGCCGTGAAGGTGGCAGTGCATCCATTTTCTGTTGCCTCACGCGCGACTGTTGCTACAACCCAACGCAGGGTTAGGCCCAAGTCGACTCGCCGCAGCCGCGCCTTGCTGCTAAAACGGGCGCTGGAGCTAGTGGGGAAACCACTAGGCCGGTCGGGCAGTGGCCCCTACTACGACATCGGTGGCTCTGAACAGCTCTCAGCAGAGAGGCAAACCTTGGAAGGGCGGGGCGGCGCCAAATCACCAATACACTCGGGGGATTTTCTCACGGAGACGACGACTCCAGCAACCTCCAAAGTTGAGGAGACGGAGGCAAGACACGACCCAAGTGCTGTGGTGGGGCACCTGCAGCAGCGCCTCAGGGAGGAGCCTTGGATATCGGCCACTGACTCGCTGGCAGACTTGAAATGGGCAAACAGCGGTCCTGATAAGAACAAGAATGAAACCCTGGCGTGGCCGAGGCCTCCATCGCGCCTGCATCGAGAGCTGGACGAGTACGAGGAAGTTACAAAATCTATCCGCTTGGTAACTCTCCTTCCGATAGCTGTCCCACCACAAGCCACGATGGAAAAGGAGGATACCCTCCCCATTTTGTCCTCACCACCCCTTGATAGTTCGGCATATGCAATGGCGGGGGGAGAACCGGAGGATGCACAGCAGCCTTTGGTAAAGCAGGAATCTGTCAGCTCTGAAATTTGCTCAGACGACGTTCCGCCACGCGGCTTTCCAATAGTAATTTTGACGAAGAGTGCTGTGTGTATTCCTCCCGGGTTTTCAACAGCCCTAAATGAGCTGAAATCAGAAGGTGGTGACGCCGTGGCGCATTTGGCACATGAGGTGGCAGAGGCAATGAAAGGCCTGGATAACGTGGATGGGGAAGCTGAAGAGGTAGTTGGCACGCTTGAGGTCTTTGGATCGCCCGCGGCGGGAGCGCGGCAGCCAGCAGACCTTAGTGAGACGCGGTCGATGGCTGCCGACGATGAGGAAGTCGACTGTACAACGTCGTCAAATGCTGCTGTTCCTGCTGCAACAGCGGAAGCGGGCGAGGGCGATGCGCCGGCAGCAGTCGAGGAAGATGAGGAGGCGAATATGCTGCTTGCCAGCGATCAGAGCCCAACTGCGTCTGAAACGACGTCGAGGAGCCCGAGCGAAAGTGAGAAAACGAGCGGCAAAAACATGGTACACGCCCTCAGGAAACAGTGTAGGTTTGATGAGGTTTGCGCCGTGCAGGAGTTGAAGGACGAAGAGCATGCAAACCGTGTGGCGCTCGTTATGGAAGAGAGTTTGCAACTGTGTGAACTCTGCCTTGTGTGTCGCTCAGAGGCGATGAACACCGCAAATGGATGCCAAGCGCATTTCGGGTCTAACGCCTTGGAGGAAAAGGCCGTTGGCACTTCTTCTCCTCTCGCGAACAAAACCATTTGGAGATATCGAAATGGCGTAGCGACCCTGATGGTGAGAATGCGGAGGCTTGAAAGAAGTCGTTGTGCCCCTCGTGCTCTTCGGTCACAGTTCCTACACTGGCGTCTAAGAAGAAGGTGGAAAACCGGTTCTCGATGTTTGACGGCCCCAGAGGGGAACCGCGAGGAGATCAAAAAGAAGCTGCAGTCGGAGGCCTGGGAGGCGCGCCTGAAAGAGGCGGTGAGTGCAGTGCAGGAGGCACGTGCGGCCGCCGCCGCCGCCGAGGCGCGGCGTTTCCGCGAGGAGAAGGCCCGGATGACTGAGTCCCTCGTGGAGCTGCGGCAGCGCCTAGTGGAGAAGGAACAAACCATCGAGGACCTCCATGCCTCACTCCGGGCCTCACACACGGAGACGAGCGAATACATGCGGCTTCTCGAGCAAAAGACGGGGGAACTTGTGGCCAGTGAGAGACTCGTCCACGCGACAGCCTCGGAACTTCGCCAGGCGCACAGAACACTGGAATCCTCAGCCCAGAGTCATGGGGAGGCGTTGCGTGCGCAGTTGGAGGCCTGGGAAGCGCGCCTGAAAGAGGCGGTGAGTGCACTGCAGAAGACACGTGCGGCGGCCGCCGAGGAAATCATGTGTGAGAAAAAGAAATATGCCGCGCTGGAGCGTGCAGCGAATGCCCGTTTGACGGAACTGCAACGCGACGCACTGGAATCAACTGCAAGGGAGCACCAAGCCCTGCGGCTTGCGGTTGCACTGGAGCGGCCCTTGTTATTGGCCAAGAGCCAGGCGGAGGAGCAAGCCGCAAAAACACGACTGATTGCTCTTGAGCTTTGTGATCAAGAGGAGCGTCTGTTGCGCGCGCGGGCACAGACAGCTGCGGCCGCAGCGTTCTTGGGTCGAGGTGTCTTTGTACCGCTTGTCCAGCGCTGCTTCGGAAGGTGGATGCGCAAGTGTCGTGAGACAAAGTGCCGTGTGCTGGAGCGTGTGCAGCGGGAAAGCAACGAGCGGCGACGTGAGTTACTGTTGTGGCGCGACCACGTTTGTTTCGCTAGCACCAGCCGGCCAGCGAAGTCGCTTAACGCCAAGTCCGAAACGGCGGAGATGCCCCTCATTGCCGCCACGGCGGCTTCAACAAAGGATACTGATTTAGCTCCCGCGCTTGCAACGAAGGCATCGGAGTCACGTGGCTCAAGAAGGGGGCACGTCGGTGCCTGCGGCGCCGAGAAAAAACTGGCACAGGAGCAGCAGCGAGCCGCGGCGCTCGTAGCAGAGCGGGACGTCTTGCGGCACGCCCTTCGCGACAGTGGTGCCGTGAACAGTGAGTTGCTCGCCCAATTGGAGGCGGCCCTGCGTGGGAACGTACCCTCGCAATGAAGAAGTCACGTTCTCGGTGTTACCTTCTTTTGGCACATTATGACAGCGCAACCTGCGAGGAGGATGGAATGAAGCATCTGGAGTGAAGGCGTATTTTCTGCTGCTTTTTGACATGCAATTTGTCCCCCCCCCCTCGTTGTGTGCCTCTCTCTGCTTCCTTATCGAACCCTTTCCCCGCATGTATCAGTGTGTGTGTCTGTGGGGGGGGAGGGGGATAAAATATGCACAGGAGCAAGCAGTCGTTGTATTATCGATTTCTTGTGGCGCACGTGTCGAGAGTTAACTTTCTTGTTCGTTATTATTAATATATATATATTTATATATATTTTTTGATTCGTTTATTTGTTTTTTGTGTTTCATTGACTTATTTTTTTGTTGTTGTTTTCTTTTGGTTCGTGTGCGGCCCGACCTTTTTGGTATGGGCAAAATTTGCGCGGTGGGGCGTGGCTCTGGCGCGGGATAAGTTTAGCCGCCGCTGTTGTTGGTGGCTCCTAGCTGCCCCAGCTGCTGTCTTTCCGCCACGTGGGTCTCTCAGATGCGCACGCACGCAGGGGTGTGGCACACGCACTGAGGAAAGCGAGAAATGAGGCAGCGGCGACCGCCACGGCGGGGGAGGGAGTGTGGGGCCCGCCTTGACGGCGAAATCACCGTGCGGCGTTTTGCGGCGCCGCAGCTGCGCACAACCGCCGCCATTCGCAGGGGTGACCTACTGGAGCCGATTTCCGCAGTGGCGGCCCGCGTTGGCGTGGAGGCTGCAGCAGTGGAGGGATTGGTGGACGCGCAGGGCCTCGCACTGTTCGGCAAACTGCAAGCCGGGGCGGAGGTGTTTCTCGCGGGCACTGTTGCCGGGAACGGCGCAAACGACGGCGGTGAAAAGTCGTCCATGCAGCCACCGGATGCATCGGTGGCCTGGGCGTACGACCCACGCATGCTGCTGCACGCGCCGCCCGTGGATCGTATTCCAGAGACGCCATACCGCCTGCAGCGGGCCATTGAGTGCCTAAAGTCAACCCCGCGCGCTGGCGAGTTGCTGCCGGAAGAACTGCGCTTCCCCGAGGAGGCGGAGGCTGGGGCGACGACGGGTGCCAAGCTGGGCGGCGCTGATAAACCCTTCACGAGTGGCGTGGCTCCACCTTCCTCTTGGCTCCAGCCCCGGCTGGCCACGCTTGCGGAAATTGCATTGTGCCACGACGTATCGCGGTACCGTGACTTTGTCGAGCACGGCACCGCGCTCGCCCCGCCGCTCAAAACAGATGTCTACTGCAGCGACGCGACAAGCAGTGTGGCCACTCGCCTTGCCGTCGGTGCCGTTATTGACGCGGCACGTTGCGCGCTTGCCGGGGCACCTGCGCTTGCCTTTTGCCTTGTGCGCCCACCAGGCCATCACTGCACCGTGGACACACCTGGCGGGTTCTGTCTTGCCAACAACGTCGCCATCGCGGCACGCCAGCTGCTGAAGGATTGGCGTGACGAGAACGAGAGCCGTGGCGGCGCTGACAGTGTGCCGGCGCCACACATAGCCATCGTTGACCTTGACGTCCACCACGGCGAGGGGACCCAGTCGTTTGTGGAGGAAGAGCCGCCGCCACCGGGCGACGCAGCCTCCGTCTCACCACTGCTGTACCTCTCACTGCATCGCTACGACCATGGCACCTTCTACCCCGCCGACCCCCGCGGCGACACCGCGTACGTTGGGCGTTACCGCAACGTGTGCAACGTTGCCGTGCATACCGCGGCCAACGACCCGGCGTGTTGCGAAGAGGTTGTGAGTGACGCCGTGTTTGAGCGAGTGGTGGACGACGTCCTTCTGCCACGCTTGCGTTGCTTCTGCCCGGACGTGGTGTTGCTCTCGCTGGGGTTTGACGCCGCCTACGGCGACCCACTCGGACGAATGGCCGTTGAAGGCGGATTCGCATACGCGGTGCGGGCACTCAAGCAGTTTTGCCGCTCACAGCCGCAGCAGCGGCAACAGGCGCGGAGCCTGCACGCTGGTCTCGTGGTTGCCTTGGAGGGCGGATACTCACCGGAGGCGGTGGCGCAGGGCGTCGTCGCCGTTGCCCACGCACTGCGCTACCCGGCCAGCGACGCGGACGTCGTGCGTTACGCGACGCGTCAGGTGCCGAAGACGTGGCAGGACCTTCGCCGCCGCGTTGCGCGTCAACGGCACGAAATGAAACAACAAGAAGCGCAGCGGCCGCACGGGGCTGAGGGGGATGTATCGAGGGCGGAGGCGTCGCCCACGCAAGGCACTGCGGAGACGACCTCGCTTCTGCCGGAGGACGACGTCCTCTTAGAAAGGCATCACCGATGGTGCGACCGGCTTATCTCCCGTGTGTTGTCCATACACGAGGCGGCAAACGGGGCGCAGTAAAAAAA